AGTAGATACGGGGTTTCACCATGTTGGTCAGGCTGGTCTCGAACTCCTGACCTCCTGATCTGCCCACCTTGACTTCCCAAAGTGCTGGAATTACAGGCATGAGCCACTGTGCCTGGCTCATTTAGAAATTCTTTTAGAACAAGGTCATTGTTCAGGTGCTTTTAGAGTCGTTTTTTCCCCTATCTTCTCATAGAAGACAGTGCTTTTAGAATTTAGACTTGATAAACGATGATCTACTTAATAGTGTCATTGCTTGCTAATGAAGCCTAAACAAGAGAGGAGATTTGAGCTCTGCTACTAAGATACTTGATTTCTGGTTCTTTCTTTCTTAGAATAGGAATTTCTTTTTACCTATTTTATAAAGAAGTTTTAAATATTCTAAAGATAGTCTTGGTTATTATGTGTTGTGTACATAGTTATCATCCTTTTCATTTGTCTTCTATAGATGAAGACTTAATAGAAAATTTAACCCAAGATGAGACATCTAGGCTGGACCTTGGATTCGAGGAGTGGGATGTAGCTGGCCTGCCTTGGTGGTTTTTAGGAAACTTGAGAAACAACTATACACCTAGAAGTAGTGGTTCAACTGATTTACAGACAAATCAGGTAAATTTCACATTTGAAGGGGGGTGGTTTTTTTTTTTTTTTCCTTTGAAAGGGTAACATTCTTGGTTACTCTTGACCACACATATTGTCTAAGAATTCTTATTTACTCCTGTGCCATTAAGTAGTATCTTTATGCATGTGATACCCAAATCTGTGTCTCTAGTCCTTATCTCTGCCCTAAATGCCTAGCTTCAGTTTTCAGATGCCTAATTAACTAACACCTCTCCTTAAAGGATTTGACATTGAACAATTTCAAAATGGAACTTTTGGCTAGGTGTAATGGCTAATACTGAAATCTCTAGAAGTCTCAGCCTGTAACACTGGAAGGCCGAGACTGGAGGATTGCTTGAGCCCAGGAGTTTAAGACCAGCCTGGGCAACATAGACCCCATCTTTACAAAAAAATAAAAAATTTGCCAGGCATGGTGGCACACACCTGTAGTTCCAGCTACTTGGGAGGCTGAGACAGCAGAATCCTTGGAGCCTGGGAGGCTGAGGCTGCGCTGAGCTATGTTTGTGTCACTGCACTCCAGCCTGGGCAGCAGAGCAAAACCCTGTCATTCAGAGAGAGAGAGGGATGGAGAGGGAGAGAAGAAGGGAGGGAGAGAGAGGGAGAGGGAGGAAGGGAGCGAGGGAGGGAGGGGGAGAAAAAGAGAGGAAGGGAGCGAGGGGGAGAGAAAGGAGAGAGAAAGAAGAAAGGAACTTCCTTCTTTTTAGCCAAACATTCCTTCCCCAGCCTTTCCTCTTTCATAAATTTACCATCTATCCACTTATTCCAGCCATATATCAAGGAGATATTGAATGATTTCTTTCTCTGTCAGAGACCACGTTCAGATTACTAGCTCTTTATCCAAAACATATTCAAAATCTAACAACTTTTTACTACTTTTGCCGTCATACCCCAATTCTCAAAACATTATCACTTTTCATAGAGGCATTATAACATCGTCATACCACATGGTCCACCTCTTTCTTATTCTTCTAGTAGTTTAGACTTGTCAAAGAGTATATTTTTTAATGGATAAACCCCATTGTTTCCAGTGGCTTCAGAAAACAAGTAGAATAAAAGCTAGACTTTCTGCTGTAGTCATAACTGATTCAGTCTCCTTCTTCCTTACTTCTTGTCATTCTTCCTTGTTCACTATATGTGTTTTAGATACACCAGGCTCCTTTCTGACACTGTAGCCCAAAATTCTTTCCTTCCTCAGCCACCTTAAATTTGTTCTTTACTCTTTCTGAAACACCCTTCCCCTATATTCTTTCTTTGCCTTCTCATGATTTAGGACTCGCCTCAAATGTAATTTCTTCAAAGAGGTCCTCCCTGGCCACCAAGGCCATTATGTTATGTAGTTCCAGTTGGATCCATTCACTTTTTGTTTTGGAGCTGTGTAGTAATAAGTGGTGGCCTGCAAAACCCATCCCTGGTTAAAATAGCCTCCTCTCTAGACACCCTTCTCTTTTATCCTAGTGTATTCTCTATAGCACTTTTCACTTTGTAAAAATATTGCTGTATTTTATGTATGTATTGTCTGTTTGTCACTGAAATGTAAGCCCAGGGCTTCTGTATTATTCACCACTCTATTCCATTACCTAGTGCCTAGAACAGTACGTGGCACATAATAGGTATTCAGTGAGTATTTGTTTAATAAATGAATGAGTATATAACAGTGGCAAAATAAATTGTCTCTCATGAATGTTGTAGAAAAGCATGCATGAAATATTCATAGGTGAATGCAGAAAGTTTTATATATTGAAAGGTGTTCAGGAGTTCAGAAAGTGTCAGGGCAAAAGGTTGGGTGACCAGTATTTCTCATATTTCTTTTTATTTATTTATTTTTCTGGGACAAGTGTTGAGAAATGTTAAGTTACTCATATTTCTTTAATAAGCATCCTTGACCATTTTAAGGGAAGGAATATGTCAGAACTAATGGAATGTTTTCTAGCTTCTTAGAGTGTCACCTGTAGAAGGGAATTTAGGGAATGGATTCTATTTACTTGAGCAACTACAAGTCCTTACCTTTTAAACTCTTCAGTACTGTTTCTCAGGTGTTATACCCGATTTAGTATTAAAATGGAAAAGTCCTTGCCTGGTGCCATTAAATCCATCTATTAGTTTATCCATAGTAGGTGTCAAGTAGATACCTGTTGAATGAATACATGTCCATTGAATAAAGGCAAGACATTCTCTGGCGATGTAGTGTTAAGACATTGAATTTTGGGTTCATTTGTGTTGTTTCAACATCTATGATAAACCTCTGAATACAGAACTCATTTTTTTTTTTTTTTTTCTGTTAGGATGTGGGTACTGCTATTGTTTCAGATACTACAGATGACTTGTGGTTTTTGAATGAATCAGTATCAGAGCAGTTAGGTGTTGGAATAAAAGTTGAAGCTGCGGATACTGAACAAGCAAGTGAAGAAGTAGGGAAAATAAGTGACAAAAAGGTACGTTGTGGAAAAATTTCATGTTGATTCTGTTTGTGCGCTTATGATATGTAATCTGTTCAGATCTCTGTGTATCTCTGTACAGCAGATTGGTTACATAATCCCCTTTTTAACTAACATTTTTCAGTATCCAATTTTAAAATTAATATTAGGTTAATTAGTGCTGCTTGACTTCTACTTTCTCAAAAGCAGTAAGCCCCTCTTTTTTTTTTTTCCTCTCCGCTTATAGCAACAAGCTACCTTTATTTTTTTCTCTCTTTGCTAACAAGCTAAGCTGCTAATTAAGCTAGTCCAACCTGCAGCCTGTGGACCTCATGCGGCCCAGAACAGCTTTGAATCAACACAAATTCATAAACTTTCTTAAAACATGAGTTTTTTGCGATTTTTTTTTTTTCCTTTTAGCTGATCAGCTGTCATTGGTATAAGTGTATTTTATGTGTGGCCCAAGACAATTCTTCCAGTGTGGCCCAGGGAAGCCAAAAGGTTGGACACCTGTGTTCTAAATGAATAGTAGCCTGTAGGAGACTTATTTCTTGGAAATCTTGATAGCTTCTATAACCATTTTATACCTAATGGAAGGTATTTTTTATAGCTATTTTAGAGTTAAAATAGTAGAAAAGAGGGGAGTTAGAACTCTTGAGTACATATTGTATGTGCTCATACATATGGTACGTACTCAGGTACAGATGAAGAGTCACACACGCAGCTTTCTCAAGACTCCAGAGAAACTGGGGAGCAGATCCAGTGCCCAGCATGTAGAAGAGTGTCAGTAAACATCCATCAGATAAATACAGCAAAGAAAACCAGAACTAAATTGGGTCATTCTTTTTATTTGTCTAAGGAATTTTCATAGGAATTTTGAGTTCCTGAAGGATACTGTAGTATATTTGTTGTAGTCAAATGATGCCTGGGTTCTCTTAGACTAGTTATATAGGTAGCATTAGAAGGAATGCAGGTGGCTTGAATGAAGACAAAAGCAATATTTGGAAACGTATTTATTTTTGAGGTAGGATCTTCCTGTTTTGCGCAGTTTAATCTTAAACTCCGTAGCTCAAATGGTCCTTCCACTCCAGCCTCCCAGGTAGTTGGGAACACTGGCATGTGCAACCATACCTGGCCTAGGAGACTTTTTAGAGAGAGATAGGACTTAAAATACTTGACCTTTTGTGAGGTTGTTATACAGATGTTCATAATTGTTTCATAATTGGTTTTATTCCATTTATTGGACTACAAAACTAGGGTTTAAAATTTAAAAATTTGGAAATTTAGAATACTCTTCACTTTTGAAATGGGCTTTTTGTTTTTGTTTCTATGGGACAGCTAGAGTATCACATAACTGGTTTTACTTTTAAATGTGAAAAGTAAAATTTAAAATACTTTGTTTCTTCCTGTCTGCCTAGATAAAAATGTTCAAATTTGGAGCTTTTCTACTCTGAAATTAATAATTAATTATTTATTTTTGGGACAGAGTCTTGCTGTGTCACCAGGCTGGTGTGCAGTGGTGCGATTTTGGCTCACTGTAACCTCCGCTTTCCGGGTTTATGCAGTTCTCTTGCCTCAGCTTCCTGAAGAGCTGGCTTTACAGGAGTGCACTACCACGCCCAGCTAATTTTTGTGTTTCTACTAGAGATGGGGTTTTACCATGTTGACCAGGATGGTGGTCTCTATCTTTTGACCTTGTGATCCGCCCACCTTGGCCTCCCAAAGTGCTGAGATTACTGGTGTGAGCTATTTATTTTAAAATTGTTTTAGAGACAGGCCCTTATTCTGTCTCTCAGGCTGGAGTGCCATGGTGAGATCATAGCTTACTGAAAGCTGGAACTCTTGGACTCAAGCGATTCTCTTGTGTCAGCTCCCAAGTAGCTGGGACTACAGGTGTGTACTACCACACCTGGCTAATTTTTTATATTTTGTGTAGAGACAGGGTCTCACTCTGTTGCCTAGGCCAGTCTCAAACTCCTGGGCTCAAGGGATCCTCTGGCCTTGACCTCCCAAAATGCTGAAATTATAGGCACCTGGCTGTAAAATAGCCACCATGCCCAGATATTTAAAGTAATAAATATGGGCATCTTCTCTCTTCTGAATGCAGAATTTATTTGGTAACGCTTCTGGGTGCTTTTCTGTCATTTGTGCTACTACTGAAATGCTAACTAGATATACAGAATCATGTTTGGTCTTGCGTTTAAGCTGTCTCCTTAAGTGCTAGTGATGGAAGCAGAATGTTCATTTTAAATGGAAGCTGTTGTCTTTTTTGATTCTAGGTAATCAGCCTCATCTAAAACAGGTAAACATTACTAATGAGACATTTTGTCTTCACAGGTGATTGAAGTGGGGAAAAATGATGATCTTGACGACTCTAAGTCCTTAAGTGATGATACTGATGTAGAAGTTACCTCTGAGGTATGAATCTCCAGTGAAAGCTATTTTGCACCAGCCCCGTCTTCAGATGATATAATTCCAGCAGTTCGCTTGTGTTGAAGACAGCTGTTCCCCCTCCACCACCCATTTCTCTCGCCCTTGCCTAGTTGCTAAGTGATGTTGGTTTCTTTACATCTTGTAAGAGATTTTTATTGCAACTTAAGGGAAGGGGATAATTTGATCTTATCCTCTCTCTACCATGAAAACCATGAGATTTATGCCTGTGTGTGCCTTTCTCCCTGCCATCAAATCTCTTTGGAGACACAAAGTTACGCAAAATAGTCCTGTGCTGCTTTCCATGACTCAACACCTCTCTGTAATCCGAAAGACCCATAGGCTATCTAAAATTATTTGTTGAATATAAAAATAATATTGTTTTCTTAAAAAGAAGGAAGTGGAAAACAGCTTAATTTCCACACAGATTGATATTAACGGAGGACTGTTAAAGATTTGATATTCTGCTTTTGGGTTAATAGGTATGGATTTGTCACTAGTTGATAACTCAAGTCTAGACCCAGATGTATAGCTTGCTTTTTACTTGCTGTTTCCCCGTGTTTCTTTTAGTCTTGCCGCAGGTAATACACTATGGAGAAAAGGTTGTTGGAGGAAGGATAAGAAGGGGATTTTATATTTGCTGCTTGGAGAGAGAAACATTTTTAGGTTGTTTCTGGTGTTGATAGTTTCCCCCACTTCCACCACACCACTGTTGACCATTGTGGTAGTTCATTGCCAATTATCTGTGTGTAGCTTAGTAATAAAGTGAACTATATTGGTCCAGTAAAAGTGTTCTTGACCATAATACAAATAACCAAGATAAATGTTTCCATATTAATCAGACTTTTGTGGCTACTTGGGCCCAGAAAACTGTTAAGCAAATGGATGCCATTGAATTTAATAAGCCCTATTATCTTATGTACTACTAATGAAAAGTGATGCCAGTTAAACTATGGCACAGCATCAGTAACAAATTCCAAATCTTTATGAAGTTCCTTTGATTATTTGTACAACATTTTAAATGAGATTGGAAGATATCAGACTGGCAAGAGTATTTTGAGGCTGTCTGGAGTATATCCCAGTTTAACACATGGTTGTACCCCTGCCTCTCAGTCTGGACAATTGAGTTATTTATGACTTCTTTTTTTTTTTTGAGACGGAGTTTCACTCATGTTACCCAGGCTGGAGTGCAATGACAGGATCTCGGCTCACCGCAACCTCCGCCTCCTGGGTTCAGGCAATTCTCCTGCCTCAGCCTCCTGAGTAGCTGGGATTACAGGCACGCACCACCATGCCCAGCTAATTTTTTGTATTTTAAGTAGAGACGGGGTTTCACCATGTTGACCAGGATGGTCTCGATCTCTTGACCTTGTGATCCACCCGCCTCGGCCTCCCAAAGTGCTGGGATTACAGGCTTGAGCCACCGCGCCCGGCTATTTATGACTTCTATACCCGAAGTGCTCAGTCTTTGACCTGAAAGTAATAAAGTTCAGCTTATGTCAAATCATTGATCCTGTCACAGCCAGGCAGTTAACCACATTAGTCTTACTTGTTCCCTATAGCTATTTTTGAATTAAGCAAAGCATTTAAAATTCATTGAGATCTAGTGTCTGTCTCCTAATTTGAATATGGAGAAGTAGAGAAAAATTACTTGGCATTCAAGGACAAGAACATTTATTTTTCAGAGAGCACGATTTAGGCATATAATTATACCTGTAATCCTGGGTGCAATTGAGAGTGCATGAGTAAATTTAGTAGTTTTCAAATCTCATTTGTTTTAGCTTTCTTTTTTGCCAGATTTTATAACATTTGCTATTAGTGTAGAAAAGAATGACAGAGTAGTCTCTTCATTCTTCAGCCTCTTGCCTGGTAAAGGGGTAAGTTGTACAAAGAAAAATAACCCCAAAGAAGGCCATAAGGTACAGTAAACAATGTATATTTCATCCAGACGAGGTAGAAACCCAGAATAATTTAACTTTTCTTAAAGATAGCTATATCAGATTGTGGCTTGAAAATAGCAGTTGTGGCACTATCAGTGTAAGTAAAACTTCCAAAGGCTTTCTTTCCTTCACATGGCTGTAGAATTTGCTCAAATCCTAGGCTAGCTCACTGGTGTAGAATGTCTGGACTATCACTAGCTTAGTGAGAGGATGTGAATGAATTTGACCTCCTTTCCTTTTTCTCAGCATCATATTCACCCCTTGAGTATTAATTGGCTTCACTTGTCTTTGTAGAATGAGTGGCAGTGTACTGAATGTAAGAAATTTAACTCTCCAAGCAAGAGGTACTGTTTTCGTTGTTGGGCCTTGAGGAAGGATTGGTATTCAGATTGTTCAAAGCTAACCCATTCTCTCTCCACATCTGACATCACTGCCATACCTGAAAAGGAAAATGAAGGAATTGATGTGCCTGATTGTCGAAGAACCATTTCAGCTCCTGTCGTTAGACCTAAAGATGTGTAAAAAAGAAAACTCCAAACTTTTTGATCCCTGCAACTTGGTGGAATTATTGGATTTGGCTCACAGTTCTGCAAGCCAAGAGACCATCTCAAGCATGGGAGAACAGTTAGATAACCTTTCTGAACAGAGAACAGATACAGAAAACATGGAGGATTGCCAGAATCTTCTGAAGCCATGTAGCTTATGTGAGAAAAGACCACGAGATGGGAACATTATTCATGGGAGGACAGGCCATCTTGTCACTTGTTTTCACTGTGCCAGAAGACTAAAGAAGGCTGGGGGTTCATGTCCTATTTGCAAGAAAGAGATTCAGCTGGTTATTAAGGTTTTTATAGCATAATGGTAGTACGAATATAAAAATGCATTTATTCGGTTCACATCACATTATTTGAAGATCAATCCTTTAATTTTATTTCCTACTTGTCTGTTAGAGAATGTTGTTAGGTATTAAAATCCAAGGTAGCTGTGAGAAAAAAACGGGCACCAACAATGAAAAACAGAAGTAATCTGATTAGTTAAATTATGAAGTGCTGTGGATTACTTTATGCTGCAGTCAGGTACATAGTTAAATGAACCCAAAAGAAAAGCTCTTGAAAAACAAGAGATTTCTTCCATGCACATTTACAATATTGAGGTATAGGTAACATGATAAAGTGTTTCCTTCTAACAAGTTGTAAAAATCTAACCACCCCATAAAAGCAATAGAATGTTTCTGTCGCCCTAAAACACTCCCTCCTACCCCTTTTCAGACAGTCCTTTGACTATTTCATGGCTCTCAGCCTAGATTAGTTTTTTGGTTGCACTTTTTTGGGGGGTTGTAGGGGAGGTATGGGGCGACAGGCAGGGTCTTGTTCTGTCTCCCAGGCTGAAGTGCGGTGCAGTGGTGTGATCATGGCTCACTGCAGCCTTGGTTTCTGGGCATAAGTGGTCTTCCCACTTAAGCCTCCTTAATAGCTGAGACTGTAGACTAGCGTAACAACACTGACTAATTTTTTTTTTTTTTTTTTTTTTTTTTTGGTCATTAGAGTTCTTTTATTACAGAGGCCACTCTGCACTCCACAATTACATACTTACACAACTCCATCTTACCAAACACTGTAGAATCTCACAGGGGGCCAGGCCCGGTGGCTCACGCCTGTAATCCCAGCCACTTTGGAAGGCTGAGGCAGGTGGATCATGAGGTCAGGAGTTCTAAGACCAGCCTGACCAACAGTGTAAAACCTCATCTCTACTAAAAATACAAAAATTAGGCAGTCATGATAGTATGTGCCTGTAATCCCAGCTACTCAGGAGTACTTAGGAGGCTGAGGCAGGAGAAATGGTTGAACCCAGGAGTCGGAGGTTGCAGTGAGCTGAGATCATGCCAAATTGACTCCAGCCTGGGCAACAGAATGAGACAGCGTCTCAAAAAAAAAAAAAAAATTCAAGAACCTCACAGGTTTTAGATACCTGTCCTTGCATTGTTCTTCACACTGGGTCCCTGGTGTTGAATTGAAGCAACTCCTTCCAAGTTCCTTGCCCATTAATTAGCCAGGCCACTCTCCACATTGTCACAAACATTGTATTAACTGAAAACCTGGCTCATGCCATAATCCATCACGAGAGATTATTTTTAATTAGATTAAATTCCAGTGTTAATGTGGAAAACCTGGTAGAGATTGAATTGCTATATGTAACTGTCTTAGTTCTCTTCTTCATATCATATTTTGACCATTTATCTTCTACATCTGGTTGACCTGCATGTTCTTGTAGTGCAACTTCTACTTGGTGTTTGCGCTTGGCTTTGTTTTCAGATTTAAATTGTGACATACATTTTCAAACCTATCTAAGAAAGAACCCTGATACTGAAATGGCTTCTGTAGAATAGGTCTGACAGATGTAAGTCTTTGATTATTTGGCTTTGATTTTTGTGCCTGTTACAGTTTTACACACATTCATTCAGAGAAAGACATTACCATCAGTGTGTTGTTTCTTTTTTCAAATTCCATTATGTTTTTAAAGACCCATATTTCACTAAGCAGTATACTTGTTGAAACTGATGTGAGTGACTTTATGTTTCCACACGTGTTAGAGCGTCACATATTGGAGTTTGCCAGGGGTAGAATGGTTGGATTCAGGAATGTTTAGCTGACTCATTGCAGGAAGTTATCCTGTAATCCCAGCTACTTGGGAGGCTGAGGTGAGAGGATCAGTTGAGCACAGGAGGCTACAGTGAGCGATGATCATGCCACTCCACACCTGCTTGGATGACAGAGCAAGACCTGCTAATGAAAGGATAACGTTGCAAAAGAGCACTGGCTAATGTTTTAATGTTTTGTGGAGATGAAGTCTCACTGAGTTGGTCTCGGACTCCTGGGGTCAAACAGTCTTCACACCTCAGCCTTCCAAAGTGCCGAGATTATAGTCAGGAGCCACCTAGTCTGGCCCTTTTGCAAGACTTTAATCTGACATCTACATTTTTAAAATTTAAGTACTTACAAAGGATATACTATCCAACCTATTGCATATTATATGTGTGCTTTAAAGATTTTTGTTTTTTTGAGAGACAGCGTCTCACTTTGTCATCCAAGCTGGAGTGCAGTGGCACAAACACTGCCCACTGAAGCCTCAACCTTCTGGGCTCAAGTGATCCAGCCTCAGCTTCCATGACACCTAGTTAATTAAAAAAATTTTTTTTGTAGACGCCATCTCTTTATGTTGCCCAGGCTGGTCTCGAACTCCTGGGTTTAAGTGGTTTCCCTGTCTCAGCCTCCCACAGTGTTGGGATTACCGCCATGAGCCACTATGCTTGGCTTAAAGATATACATGTATTTTTCCCTTACACACACACAAACCCTTGCAGATAGGCTTAAAGATATTTTTATGAAAGCCTTGAGGCTATAGATTTAGCTGATTAAATTTATAGAAAAAAAAAATCCTGTTGTATAAACTGGCAAAGCCTGTACTCAGTTTAAAATTAATCAGTCAAATCAGACTTAACTTCAGTCAGAACATGTCTTGGTTTTAATTCAGATAAACACACAAA